CTGAAACACAGAGAAGCGTCTTTCGAGTCTGTGCCCATGTAGACCTACAGCAGCTGCTCCCGCTCACCCAAGAGTGGGGCTCGGGAGTCCGGGGTTGCCGATCCGCGGGGCTCTACCGCAGAGCGCGCGCGTGGGACTACCCAGGCCCAGCAGGAAGCCGCCAGCCTCGACTGGCACCTCAGCCCCCTCTGGCGGCGGGAAAAGCCTCCGCACCACGCTGGGCGTCACCCTAAGCCCCAGAGCGCACAGCCTCACTACGAGCCCGCCGGAAGTGCGAATGTCCGTCCCAGTATCTCAGGAATTCACTCCGCGTGCCCTCGACCGCGGAGGGAGACTGGAACTGGGAGCTCTGGCACTAGAGCACCCTGAGGATCTTGGGCGGAGCAGGCGGCTGGAGGGCAAAGCTGAGTCGCTGCTTCTTCCTGACAGACAGTTGTTTCAGCCAATCGGGCGACTTTGGCCCGCGTCTGTTGACTGGTAGGGGCTACGCCCCTCCTGGTGGTCCCGGCGACGCGCTGGCCAGTTCCCAGTCCGCAAGACTTGTGGTTCAGTTAGGCGCCCCGCGTCCGGTCAGCCAAACCTCGGAAGGGAGTGGCGGGGAAGGGGGGTCCGCCCTGACGTGCTCCTTCGGTGGACGAGCGATCGTGGCGGTTGGCCGGATCCGCACCGTCCAAGATGGCGGGACCTAGGACAGGAGTGTTGCTCTAAAGCGCCTTAAAGGTGTTCTTAGTACTCGCTCGAAGGTGTTGATCAGGACAACGAGAAGGAACGGGAGGATTATCTTATTTAACTTGGGTGTTCTCCATCTTAGGTGGTTTTAAGATTTTTTGGATAGCTTGTTGCCTTCTTTTTTTATTTTATTTTACTTTTATTTATTTACTTATTCACTTTTGCGGTTCTGGGGATTGAAAGCAGAACTTTACGCCTTCTGCTGTACCCCGAGAGTCATCCACAGACCTTTTTTTTAAAGATGGGTTCTCACTAAGTTGCCAAGCTGGTCTTGAACTTGTTGCCTTCCTGCCGCTAGAGTGCCTGAGATTCAAGGCACGGGCCCAGCTCGTTTTGTTTTTAAATCCCAGATAATTCTTATGTAAGTCATTACATACCTAGAATATAGTAAGGCTGATTTTTTTATGGTTTTTTTTTGTTTTTTTTTTTTTTTTTTTTTTTTTTTTTTGGTCAAACCCAGCTTCGTAACGCACCCTTTGAACTCTGATTTTCCTATAATTCTATTCTTTTGAGTATCAGTGAATACTGAATGATGGACCACCGTTTTTCAATCCTCCAGCATCGTCAAGTACACACTCTGACACTCTGACATTAAAACTGGTGTCAAGGGTATTTGTATTCTCACACCTGGAGACTTCAACTGCAGTTCCCGTTTCAGAGCTGAGGCAGCATGAGCCACTTGCAGAACTTACTGTTAGATACCCTCCTGGGAACAAAACATGTGGACAGTGCAGCCCTCATCAAACTCCAGGAGAGGAGCCTGTGTGTCACATCACCAGGATTTAGTGTAAGAGAAGGAAAAAAGCTTTAAGCATAAGACATTTGTAATTTTTAAAGTTGGTGAAGTATTGGGTTTCATCATGGTGTCTTCAAATCTGTGTTGTCATGAGCATACAATATCAGAAATATGCATGTTTGTCTTTCCACAATGTCAGAATTCATTGACTAATGATCAGTTTACAAGGTACAGTGATTTCAATGGCAGCAGTTTGTCAGACATTTCCTCTTTCCTTGGTAACCCTGAGGTGAGCATAGGTCCATACATTCCGATCTTAATTCTTAGATCAGCTCACAGATCACATTATGTATAGATAGATAATATATAACACAATTATATAATATTAATATGTGATATAGTAATTTCTATTGTATAATTATAAGGTTATAGAATAAAGGGTTAAGAAGCCACAGTGGAGTTCAGGAACTTTCACAGGTCCCGAAAAGCAGGGAAACTGATAAAAATTTAAGTAGCATCTGCATCAATAACTGGAGCTTCAGTGGCCAGTCAGGCCCCTTCAGGTCACAGTTTTGAGAGTAAAGCTGCAGAATTGAGTCCAGCTGCAGAGGTGAAAGCGCAGGGCTGGGTCCAGACCAACAAAGTAGTGGACAGATGATGGGCAGGTCCAGGTCAGTGGGGACAATTGCCACTCCTTTATGGGGCCCAGGTGAGGAAATTAATACTCTTTCCTTAGTCTGTTCTATCTGATCATTTCTTGGACCTGGCTTTCTAGATATGATTTTAATATACCCATGTGCTTATATTCAGCCTGGAAATTTTACAGGGTGGATAGGGTAGCACCCTTTCTAATTTCAGGAATAAGTTATCAGTCTATGTGGTGGTACTGAATAGATGGTGCCCTTCATGTGTCCACCCAGGTACACAGTCATCATCCTCAAATTGGAGTCTCTAAGGGCAAGACAGTCTGAAAAGCCACTGTTTTATACAATATGGAGAAACTTAGAGCAAGGCACAGTCTGATCTCAATTTTTCATTATACTTTGTTTTCATTAGTTCCTGTCCCCTTGTGCTCTCCTCTATACCCTCTCCCCCTCCAGCTAGTCCCTTCCTCCTTTGATTAACACCTGCTTCTGCTTTAAAAAAAGATTTATGTATATGTGTGAATACCTGCCTGTACGTATGTGCATGCCTGGAGTTCTAATTTGGATTCTATTGCTGTGATAAAATACTCTGACCAAAACCAACTTAGGGAGGAAAGGGTTTATTTGGCTTACAACTCACAGTCCATCATCAAGGGAAACCAAGACAGGAGCCTGGAGGCAGGAACTAAAGCACAGACCATGGAGGAACACTGGTTACTGGCTTGTTACTCTGGCCTGTGCTCATACTGCTTTTTTTTTTTTAAACTTTTTTTTTTTTAATGTGTATGCATGTATTGCCTATATGTAGGTAAGTGCACCCATATGAGCGACTGTGCTCTCTCTCCGGGCGCAGTGTGCGCTCACTCCCTGTGGGTCCGCAGACTTCTCTGGCGGCTGCTTTGGGTCCCGCGTCTTTGGGAGTGACGGCAGCTGGTGGCTGTCGTAACTTCTCTGGTGGTGGGAGCTTGCTCTGCTTACTGGAGCATTGTCCAGCTGGAATCCCGTCTCAATTACACCCGTGTACCTTTTCTCAGGATTGTGGGGTTCCTGGCCACTGAACCCCACAGGGAAGAGGCACTGAGACGGCGAAGCTGGGATATCCGTAGGTCGGTAATGGAAGGTGCTGCCCTCCGGGGGAATCAGGTCGCCGGTACACACGACTCAAGGCCCGGCTTAGTCTGTGCTTACAGCTTTATTTTCTCTGGGACCCAGAATCCCAAAATCCAATGTCCCAATGTCCCAATGTCCCAATGTCCCAAATATTAAGAGAAGGCTAGGATATTTTATACCGTGGGGGTAGTGGTAAAAGCTCTGGCTGCTAGATAGATGCTTTGTGAGACATCTTATTTACATGTGGAAATGGACTTCTGCCAGACAGTTGTCTGCTAAGAGAATTACAGGAAGGCATGGTATCTTTTCAGAGCCAAAGGCCATGTTTATGTCAGGACATTTGTGGCGGCCACTTCAAAAGGAGAGACAGAAAAGATGCCAGAAAGCACCTTGCTATGAAAAGGAGCCCGCAGCACATTCCCGAGCTACATGAGCTGTCCGGTGTGAAGGGGCTTCGACTTTTGCATAACAGAGGTCTCCCAACACACCCATGTCCTGCAATGCCTGCAGATGTCAGAAGAGGCTGTTGGATACCCTGGGACTGGAGTTACAGATGGTTGTTAGCTGCCATGTGGGTACTGGGATTCAAACCTGGGTCTTCTGCAAGAACACCAGTGTTTTTAACCGCTGAGCCATCTCTCCAGCTCCCCAACTGCTTTCTTATACAACCCAGGAGTGGCGCTACCCCACAGTGTACTGAGCCTTCCCACATCGCTCAGCAATCAAGGAAATGCCTCACAGACATGCCCACAGGTCAGTCCAATAGGAAAAGCCCCCAATTGAGGTTCCCTCTTTCCAGGTAGGTCAAATTGACAATGCAAGCAATCCAGCACACCTGGTGCCTGTGGAGGCCAGAAGAGGGCTTTAGCTCATTCTAGAACTGGATTTATAGGCAGTTGTGAGCCTCCATGTGGGTGCAAGGGTCTTACTATGCAGCCCTGAGTAGCCTGGAACTATGTAGACTAGACTGGCCTAGAATGCCCAACCCCTTCTGCTTTCCTATCACATATATTCCATTATCCTATTCCCTGCCTCCCTTAAGATATCGTCCTCCTCTCTTATTAGCCCCTTTCTATTTTCTTGACCTACAAACATACATATATAAATATATACATATACTTTTAAATCTAAGTTCCATATTAGAAAATGTGGCAGTTGTCTGAGTCTGGTTTATTTCCCTTAGCATAGTGATTTCGAGTTGCATCTATTTTCCTACAAATGTCATGATTTCATTTTTCTTTATGGTTACACAAAATTCCATTATGTAGATGTACTATATTTTCTTTGTATGCTGATAGACATCTAGGCTGGTTCAATTTCTTGGCTATTGTGAAGAGTGCAGCAATAAACATAGATATGTAGTCTCTGATGACTTTGTTGATTAGAGTCCTTTAGTTATATGTACCCAAGAATGATATAGCTATGTCATGTAGCAGTTCTGGTTTCAGTTCTTTTAGGAAGTTCCATACTGATTTCCATAGTGACTGCACAAGTTTACATTCCCACCAGCAGTGAATTAAGGGTTCCTCTTCTCTTTCCTTACATCCTTGCCAACATTTGTTTCCTTCTTTTTCTTTTCCTGCTTATAAGATCTCATGTAGCCCAGGCTAGCCTACAACTCAGTACTTTTAGTTAGATGATTATCTTGAACCTTCTGCCTCCAGCTCCCAAGTGCTAGGACTATAGGTATTCACCACCATGTCTGGTTTATACAGTGCTGGGGATTAAACACAGAGCTTTGTGCATGCTAGACAAGTACTCTACCAGTTGAGCTACAAGCCCTACCCTTCATTTGCTTGCTTATTGACAGTCACTCTAACTGGTATGAAATGGAATCTCAAGGCAGTTTTAATTTGTATTTCTCTGATGGCTAAGGATGTTGAACACTTTTTACAAGTATTTGGCCCTTTGTATTTCTACTTTTGAGAACTGTCTATTCAGTTATTTATTGAGGGGATGATTTTATTTTTTGATGTTTATGTTTTATTGTTGCCATTCTTTATATACCCTGGTATCAATCCCTTGTCCCATGTGTAGTTGGCAAAGTTTTGTGTGTGTGCGTGTGTTTTCATTCTGTCTCTTCATTCTGGTGATTGTTTCCTTTGCTGTGCAGAAACTTTTTAATTTCATGTAATCACACTTTGTCAGGTTTTTTGTTGTTGTTGTTGTTCTTTTTAAAGCAGAATCTTCCTGTAGCCCCAGCTGTCCTGGAACTCACTATGTAGACCAGGCTGGGCTTGAACTCACAGAGATCCACCTGCCTCTGCCTCCCAAGTGCTGGGACTACAGGTGTGCACCACCACGCCCGGCATTATTTCCTGTGCTATTGGAGTCCTTTCAGAAAATCCTTACCTATAGGCATAATATTTTTTAAATAAAAAGAACTTCTCTATAAAGAACCATAGGAGGGGCTGGAGAGATGGCTCAGCAGTTAAGAACACTGGTTGTTCTTGCAGAAGACCCGGGTTCGAATCCCAGCTCCCACATGGCAGCTAACAACTGTCCGTAACTCCAGTTCCAGGGGATCCAACAGCCTCTTCTGTCCTCCTCCGGTATTGCATGACACGGGTGCACTTACCTACATGCAGGCAATACACTCATATACATAAAATAAAAATAATAAATATTTTTTAAAAAAGAACCATAGGAAATGCCTTAGGATTATGGACACATAGTCTCTGTCACAATTACTTAATTCTGTGATGCAATGAAAAAGCAGCCATAGGTAATACATAAAAGAGTAGGTATGACTAAGATCCAAGAAAACCTTATTTAGGAATAATGAAATTTCACTTCTTTTAGTGTTCACATGTCACAAGGTAGTATTCTTTTTTTTTTTTTGCAGCCATTTAGAAAATGTGTGAACAATTCCTAGACTTCAGGCCACTAAAAAAAAAAAAACATATTCGGCAATGGACCAAATATAACTGCTCAGTGGCCATGGTTTGCTGACTCCTGGTCTACTTACCCTCCACAGGTAATGCCAAGTGATGTTCGAACACTTGTGCAAGGATTTGCCAAAAACCCTTTGCTAACTCGAAGGGAAGGACTATATTTCCAGGAAAAGGATTACAAATGTGTTCGGGCAGATGACTATTCTCTTTATGCTAAAAATGTGAGTATTCAAGATTTGAAAACAGGTTAAAGTTTTAAGAATTTGATTCCTCTCCCTCCACCCCTCTGATCCTCTCCATTAAACAGATTAAGTGTATCACTGCCTTGGGACATTTAGACAGCAATGAAACAGCCAGAAACACATCTGAAAATACTCTCAGAGAGGCTGGGGATGAACCCTAATAGTTGAAGCAGTTGCCCAGTATGTACAATGCCCTGGGTTTGATCTCTAGCATGGATATGAAGCAAAGGAAAAAAAAAAAGGGGGGGTGGGAGGATAAAGCTTGTTCTCTGAAAATACTCTCCACCAGAGATCCTTGTTTTGACAAACATTCATTCTGGAACCTGTCAACTATCTCTTCCCACTATAGTTCATCCTTTCTACTCTACTTCTTCATCTTTAAAAAAAAGAAAAAGTGCCCCAGTGCAGTGGCACATGCCTTTAATCCCAGCATTCAGAGGCAGAGGCAGAGGCAGGCAGAGCTCTATGAGTTCTATAAGCTCCAGGTTGACTATTATCTGAAATGCTTGGGCATAGAAGTGTTATAGATTTCATTGTTTAAAAAAAATACACATGTATAAGTAATGAAACCCAAAAATAATCATGAAATTATTTTCTTTCATATACTCCTTACAGATTACACCTTTGACAATATTTTTAGTGTGCCTATGTTTTTACTGTGATCTGTCACGTGAAGTCAAGGGAAGTTCCCACTTGTGGTATATTGGTGCTTAATTTTTTTAAAAGACAGAGTCTCACTATGTAGCCCTGACTGGCCTTGAAGTCACAGTGATCTACCTGCCTCTGCCTCCTCAGTGCTAGGATCAAAGGTGTGTGGCACCATATTTGATTTTACAATTTCTTTTTTTTTAATTTTTTTGAATTTTTATGTATTTCATACAGAAAATCATTTTTATACCCCTTTTCCCTTTCCCTTGGTCACCCTCCCATAGCCCCCCAACTGGAGTTCATACATTCTGTCATTTGTGCTAAGGTCTATTATGTAAAGTTAGTGTCCCCAGATGTCCCACAGTGCAAGTTTATCCACCGGGGTTTAGTCAGCCCATCTAGAGTCTCTCCCTTCAAGAAGATAAGCTCTTCCTCACCCAGCAGTAATCAGCTGCCAATAATTCTTTGACTAACATTGCTGTTCATTTCCACAGTTTTGGGGTTTTTGTCTGCCTAAATTTGCATGGGTCTTGTGCATGCTGACACCATTTCTGTACGTTTGTATGAGAAGGGTCCCAGATGCCTGTAGGACCATTTCCATATGGTCATGCATCTCCTCCCTGGCTCTTACAATATTTCAGCCCCCTCTCCTGCAATGGTCCCTGAGCCCTGGGTGGGTGGACCTCGATATAGGAGTCCTGTCAAGGACCCATACTCTGAAGACTCTTATTCTCTGTGTTTTGGCCATTTGTGGCCTTTTGTGTTCCGGCCCTCTGTTGCATGAGGGAGCTTCATTGGTGAGAACTGAAAGATGCATTAGTGTTTTCTTCATCCCTTGTTCTATGTTCCATGAATCTTAGGTGTAGAGGTTGCATCCTAGATGTGCCACTTTTGCTTGCGCAATTCACAGAGAATCTCCCTGTGTGATCAGTGGTGTAACTCTGAAATAATCTGTTGAAAAAGAAGCTACTTTAATGGGTAGTGACTGGGATACTTGTCTGTAAGTTTAAGGATCCATATTTTTCACATAGTAAGAAATTACATTTGCCTAGGGATATGAGCGCCTCGGGGTTTTCTCTAAGATCTATGACCTCTCCAGCTATGTGTATTTGGCTAGGATTACAGTACCACACATGAGTTTCCTCCCATTGAGTGGGTGTTAAGTCCAATTAGATAGTCCTAGACAAAAGTGCCACTACTGCACCAGTGTCATTTGCTGCCCTGGTCATTGATGTGGTTTTTAGGCCTTGAAGCACGGGTTGGACCATCGATTGAAGTTTTCCCTTACCAGCTGGCATAATTTTCTCCAAAGCTATGAGAGCTAACCTTCAGGGGAGGTGGCTTCCAGGTCAGTTCCAGCTCCATTACACCAAATCCTGTGTCCAAATTATGTCCTGTCTTCAACAATAAGGTCTTACCATCAAGTTCTGGAAAGCAATCAGGACTGTGGCAATAGCCTGTGTAATTTTGGGAGTCTCTTGAACTACCCTGGCCAGCAACTCAAAGGAAGGTTTCTCCTGTCTAGCACTGTTTCTTTTATGCAGTCTCCAGCTATACTCATGGACTCATGTAGGAATATTTTGTGTGTAATTTTTCAGTAGGTTTTTGGACTAATATGATTCCCTCTGGTTTTTTATACTAGCTAGGCACTATTTATCTCTCCTCTTTCTGTCCCTGTCTTATCCTTACTCCCCGCCCTCCCCATTTAAAGTGTCCCCATTTCCCCCGTTTCTCCCTTGATAATTTTTGTATGCTATGGTCCCACCTCTTTTAACCTCCTTCTTCTCCTTAATTCTCATAGTTCTTTATATAGCCCTCCTTCTCCCCCTCTCCTTTAACTATCCCCCTTTTCACACATTTTTTTTCCCTTAGTAACGCCTATCTCCTACTGTTCCTCCCTCTCAGGTTCCTTTTTTTCCTTTACCTCACTGGTTCCCTTTCATTTTCCTGGTTCTTACAGTTAGGAAATGTACTTACTAATAAGGATTTGTTGCTAGGATCCACAAATGAGGAAGAATATATATCTTTTCTTTTCCTGAGTCTGTGTTACTTCACTTAGTATAACAGGTTCTAGATGCATCTATTTACCTGCAAATTTCATTATTTCATCTTTCTTTACTGCTAAGTAGACCGCCATTGTGTAAATGTACCATATTTATGTTAACCACTCGTCAGTTGAGGGGCACTTAGGTTGCTTGCGTCTCTTAGCTATTGTGAAAAGACAGCAACAAACATGGTTGTTCAAGTACCTCTGCAATAGGATGAGTCCTTTGAGTATATGCCAAGGAGTGGTATAACCAGATCATATGATAGGTTCATTTTTAGTTTTTTAAGAGTTCTCCACACTGATTTCCATAGGGGTTGTACGAGTCTGCAATCCCACCAGCAGTGAATGAGCATTCCCCTTTCTCCACATACTCTCCAGCATTCGGTATCATTTGTTCTCTTGATCTTATCCAGTCTGACTGGAGTAAGATGAAATCTTAAAGTGGTTTTAATTTGCATTTTCCTAATTACTAACAATGATGAACAGGTTTTAATATGTTTCTTGGCCATCTTTATTTCTTCCTTTGAGAACTCTTTAGATCTTTAGCCTATCTTTTAATTGGGCCATTTGTTTTCTTGATTCTTTGGTTTTTTTTTTTTTTGAGTTCTTTATATATTCTGGATGTTAAACCTCTGTCAGATATGTCACTGGTGGAGATTTTTTTCACAGTCTATGGGTTCTCCACTTTCTTGATTGTTTCTTTTGCTGCACAGAAGCTTTTTAGTTTAATGAGGTCCCACGTGTCGATTGTTGACCTTAATTCCTGAGCAACTGGTGTCCAATTTAGAATGCCCTTTCCAACACCTATATCTTGTTCCTGCCAATGTTTTCTTCTAACAGTTTCAGTGTTTCAAGTTTCACATTGAGGTCTTTGATCCATTTGGAGTTGACTTTTGTGCAAGGTGAAAGATAAGGATCTAATTTCATTCTTCTACAGGTGGAGATCCAGGTTTGCCAGCACCATTTGCTGAACATGCTGTCTTTCCTCCATTGTGTGTTCTTGGCACCTTTGTCAAATATCAGGTGACTGAAATTGCATGTACTCGGGTTTGGGTCTTCAGTTATGTTCCATTGATCTATGTGTCTATTTTTGTGCCAGTACCATGCTGTTTTTATGACTATGGCTCTGTGGTATACTTTGAGATCTGATATAGTAATCCCCCCAGGATTGCTCTTTGCCAAGTGTTGCTTTAGCTATCCAGAGTCTTTTGTGCTTCCATATGAATTTAAGAATTTTTTTTTCTAATTCTGTGAAGTAGGTCATGGATTTTGATTGGGATTGCATTGAATCTATATATTGCTTTTGGTAGGATGGTCATTTTCACAATATTAATTCTTCCAATCCCTGAGCATGGGAGGTCCTTCTGATGTCTTCCTCAATCAAGTTCTTTCTTTAAAGATTTAAAATTTTCATTGTAGAGATCTTTGATATCTTTAGTCAGGTTTATTCTGAGATATTTTAATTTTTTTGGAGGCCATTGTAAATGGGAGGGTTTCCCTGTATGCTTTCTCCAGTTGGTTGTTGTCAGTATATAGAAAGGCTACAGATTTTTATAGATTAATTTTGTAACCTGCCACTTTACTGAAAGTGTTGATCAGTTCTAGTTTTTTGGTGGAATTTTTGGGATCTCTCAGGTACAGTATCATATCTACAGAAAGGGGTAATTTGACCTCTTCTTTTCCAATTACTACTCCTTTAATTTCATTCCTCTGTCTTATTGCTCTAGCAAGAGATTTAAGCACTATGTTGAAAAGGAGTAGAGATAGTAGACATCCTTGTCTGAGTCCTGATTTTAATGGGAATGCTTCCAGTTTTTCTCCACTTAGAATGATGTTGGCTGTGGGTTTGTTGTATATAGCTTTAATTATGTTGAGGTATGATCCCTCTAGTACAATTCCCTTTAGGACTTTTATCATGAATCTGTGTTGAATTTTGTTGAAGGCCTTTTCTGCATCTATTGGGATGATGATGTGGTTTTTGTCTTTGAGTACATTTATATGATTTATGGCATTTATTGACTTGCATTAACTGAATCATCCTTGCATTTCTGGAATAAAGCGTACTTGATCATGGTGAATGATCTTTGTGATGTACATCTGTATGCGATTTGCAAATATTTTGTTGAGAGTTTTTGCATCTCTGTTCATTAAGGATATGGGTCTATGGTTTCCTTTTTTGGATGTGTCTTTACCCAGTTTGGGTATTAGAGTGCTGCTAGCTTCATAGAAGGAATTTAGGAGTTCTCCCTCTCTTTCTATCTTTTCGAATAATTTAAGTAGTATT